AAACCCTTATTATTACAAATTCAAATGTTGTAATCCCGTACTATGTTAAAGTTTGTTATTTCTTCAACTTCTCTAATTCTATACAGCGCATGTTAAATTCGATTTTTCGAATTTCGAAGCACCTTTTATAGAAAAAGCTAAACCCTATAACAGTAAGTCAAAATAATGAATTACACGCAGTTTATTCCTATCCATCTAAAATAATCACGACTTCTTGTATTTTCATCTGATCTAATCCATGTTATTAGCCTATCAATAACTACAGCTGTTTGATACTTTACAGACGGGGACATTGTATAAATGAGTGCGGGTTAGTAGTTCTCTAGATGTGATTTTTAAGATTCATTCACAACGTCACTTGCATCTATCGAGCATATCAGGATGTTCGTCTAGCTCACAACACGTAGTGTTTTTGTGATAAGCATTTAGGCCGTATTGCTGTATAAATGTCGTCTATGTGATTATAATGAAAGAGAATTAATTTCACCTATAGTTTACCCCAACCTTTACTTCATATTTTCTATTTCCACGTCGTCGTCGGTAATTGCAGTATGTAAATTCTAGTGTTTAATTAACATCGAGAGTTTATCTGAGATCACAGGAAAATCTTGACCATTATCACCGCTCCTTAAATGTTTGCCGAAACGTATGTAGGTTTTATGCAATAAAGGTACATCACGTCGACTTAAATAGCCGAAGTTTTGGTAGGGCATCTTAAATTTCCAATCAATTTGCCAGATTACTTTTAAGTTAAAAATTTATTCAGTTTGTGTGTACCCGCTTTCTGAATTTTCCTATCGATGTACGAGACTACAACTAATCAGTCTGTTTTGACAGTTATGCTTTCTGTACGGATCACTTCGATATTGTCACTAAGTCACAAGTGTTTCTAGAAGAGATGGACGGTAGCTAGCAGAATCTCGAAATGAATATCAATTTCAAAATACAATGGTATTCAGTTAAGAAGCCTATTTCTCCTCCATCAGTCACCATACATCTCTGATCACAATTTATTTATTCCAGATCAATATGGTTTTCTAATCAGACTGAATATACAACTAGTGAAGTGATTTGTCTTTTTTTATTATTTCTTCCGTAAACGAATTAGATATGGAATCTATGAGCGAACTCATAAAATGTAACGAGCTGATACCAACATATCCAAAATGTAAATTTACTTTAATTATCACTCTATTGATATTAATGAATATGACAGATATAACCTGACATTCCTTACTGTAATTCATTCTCACCAATACTTTCCACTAATCTTCAAATGTGTTTTCCAGAATATCTAATTGTTTTCCTTAGGTACACTGAACTCGTGTTTCCTCAATCATAAAATCACAGAACCGATCATGTTCTGTTTAATATTAACGCATTTAATATTCATGAAGGAATTGATTCATGTTACAGAACAAATCTCGTCAAATGATTAAAAGGTAAAAGCATGGACTAAATATTCACAGGGACTTTGACAAATGAGTGGGGATATCGAGAAATGGCGAAAAGGACAATGTGACTCTCCGTTATTTATCCACCATCCATGTTGTCCTCACATATGGTGATTTCCATTACTTTGATGCTGAAAACACGTTGAATGACTCCTTCAAATAAACGATATTCATGAATGATTTCCTAACCGATTTTATTTTGTATTTCAGATGTGGAACAAATTGATGAACAGATTTCTTTGAAAAACGTTGATGTTGAACATTTGGATATGGAATCCTGTAAGATAAAATATTTGAATATTTTGATTGTTTTATTGAATAACTATGTCATGTCCACATGTAATTCACTGAATAATGGTTATCCACAAACTGTAATACTATGTGAAGTGTCTACAGAAGCTTCAACCTGATGGTTTAATGAATGAACGCAATCACAATAACACGGAAGCTTCAAATGAAATTGAACAGTTTGTTTGTACTAATCCGAGCTCGAACATTCTTAATCAACGCATCCACCATATTTGTGATAGTTCTCCATTCAAATATCAAAGTTGAGATAGTGAGGTTGCGTTTCACGATGCCGGCCAATTCGATAGAACAAACTTGGCTAACCGAGAAACAAAATGCAAGTATTCAGCCAACACATCACATTCACATGAACATTGTTGAACTAGTAAAACGTTTTGAACAATTGCCTATACAAACACCATATGTGACATAAACGGAAAATAACCACCGATTTATTTTCTTAGTTTTCTCATTAATGATGAGATAGATATTGAAGTAAATGAACATTCAGTCATTTAGCGGTTTTATTTCATTTTCCCACATTTCAGTTATTCATAGTTTTCTATCACAAATGCTCGAAGCGATGAGTAAGTAACCTATTGAATCAAATCTACTGACAATATTATGTAGTATGTGTTGTATGTTGCATGAAGACGACCTATTGTGTGTTTGGATAATTGAAATACGCAAATTAGAGTTACGTACAACTAAACGTCGGTTCACTCGATTTAATACACAGTTGCTTTTGAATTGAAATATCTATTCAGATGGATATTTGAGAGACAGTCTAAGGAAAAGTAGATTTGAATGAATGTTTACTGTTGCAGTTGACACTCGATAACATGGTGATTTTCTGATCCATTACTCCAGTGGGATCTGCACCATGTTTGATCAAATGAATACATGCATGTTGATCAAGACCCATTAAACAGTGTTACTTTTGTCCAGTCGTTCATTTCGAATGTACACTTGTATGATTTATCATATTACTAATCATTCTTATGTTTCTGTTAGAATTCCAGGTAACGATGGAAAATAAACGAATTTGAATTTGCGAACGCTGAACTGGACCTAACTCATTTCTCATTTACTCATATTGTTGTAACAATTAATTAACTGTCTAAATAATCAATCACAAATTTCTTCTTTCATTAACAATATTCACCGTTAATATTAACTAACTCTTATTTGTTTATGTTGAAAACATTGATGCAGTAAACGACTGTAATGTGTGAAATTAAATGTCTATCAATTGATGTTTGAGTTTTAATATGGTTTACCTGCAATAAGAATCGAACTAGTTAGTGATGAAAATGAGAATAGTATGAGGGATATAGTGAATAAAACAGTTAGACGACAGTCACTCGTCAAAATGATAGCTGATTTCCGTGAATCACGATGTTAACTGCAATCTACTCATATCATTGAACATTCTGGAACTAACTTCTCAAACCCGAGTTCATGTATAAATATGAACTACATGAAGTGGATGGTATTTGGTTCTAATCTCGGTGTAGAAATCAATACTGATATTGATGCTTTCGCTTGGCGAACCTCAAAAAGGATGAGAAACGAATCCTGGATTACACTGCCCGCTACAATCCATCAATTGTAAATAACTAGTGTCCCAATGCTTAGATCAATCCGAATCCCACAATTCGTAAATATGCTTTAAAGACTGATCGAAATTCAATCTTCAAATTCGTCAATGAGATAAATCAAACACATCCTTATCATAAAGAAATAATTATCTTTTATTTTGGATATCACATCTACCAAAGTCAACTACTTACTACCGTCTTCTTTATATGTGTCAGGCCTTATCCCTGTTGGTTGCAGATTGTTGTCTACTAGTTCTTTGATACTCTGTAAATGATCTTGTCATTCTTCATTTAAATCGGATATGATGATGAGGTGAATCAATGCAGCCGTAAAAATATTGAGCAAGTGTGATAATCCTGATGTGCAATCGGTATACAAACACACTTGACAAAATCATGAAGAATGTAAATGAAAACCGATAGATGGTGTACAAGTGAAGTATTTAATGTGTAATTTCTATAATTTTTAAAGACACTCTAGAATTTCGAACGAAATGATGAATTGGTTTCGCACACTAATTCACCGTTCACTGCAAGCTTATTTGCCATGGTATGTAGTTCGTCTTAGAATGTAAAGAATTTAGTCCTCAAATCGACGATAAATTGTATGACAAGAGGGAAATTTCGATGTAGGCAAATACAGATCAGTATAAATGAAAATTATAACTGATTGAAGCTGATCACCTCAAGCGATAGAATGGTATTGGAATATATTCGTGTGTTGAAAATCAGGAGAACGTCACATATTTTACAAATATATATGGGAGTTAATAACCTGTAAACACATTTGTGAATGTGGTATGCAAAGGAATATACAGGACAATGATTCAGCTAGCTTCCTGACAGTGTAATAGTCATTACACACTGTTTGCATACGCATAAATCTGACAGTAAATTTCCAACATTTTTTAAATTAAAAGAAGCTATGTGTGTGCACCTGTCGAAAGACTTAATTTGGTTTTATGAATGATCTGCAACGCTCCTGTCTCATAGTCAACTTCATATTTCGGAATATATGATTTTCATTTTTAGATTTCAGGGCACATTGGAGAGCACTACAAAAGGTTAAAGAGGAGAAGATAAAAAAAACTTTTATTGATGGTTCTCTTTCGGTATACAGAATAACTCTGAATGCATCAGCCCTAACCAATTGTCTACAGCAGAAGCTATGTTTGACAGAAAGGTTAAAACTGCAATTGATGCCATGAAACCATAGGAAAATGGCATAGAAAGAGGAAAGCTTAAGATGGAAACTCATTTTAATCACCATAATAATAATAATAGATATTCTGAAAATAATATTTACAGAATTCACACCAGTTTACAGGCATGATCAGATTGTTATAAAAATCAACATTTAATGTAGAGAGCAAACATGAAATGTAAGATGAGATGGCTCAGAATCAATCACAATGGCGTAGGTTTATACACTCTTTAACTTCCCTTAAACCTTCAGATTAAAATTGCTTCATTACTTTCTTCCTTCCTATACTATATCCTTATATAAAACCTTTCTTTTGTAGATATTACCACCACTAACTTAACTACTTCTATGAATTCGCTGATCATCTTGTTGTGCTAATGAGTGAGGTATGACAACTTGGACCGATGTGTAAATGTGCCTGGTTTTACGTTGGTTTTTGTTACTATGAAAGATATTTTTTAGTTAAATCTTTTATTTTTAAATATTCTCCATAACAAGAGTATGGATGAGCACATACTTCTAAATCACGTGTTGTATTACCAAAATTCTTTCCAACATGATATTGATAACCTATTCACAAAATAGAAATAAAAAAAGGAAAATTGACAAAATTGCTCTTTTCATAGTTGAAATCATGAGTCGATTGAAGCTAGACCACTATGAAAAACCTGGAAGCACTGGACGGCCGTTTCGTCCTTTTGTGGGACACTTTAGTGTCAGTGCACATCCACGATCTCGCACTCGCGAGATATGAACCCAGGACCTACCAGTGTTTTTTTAATAATAATTTTATAGGCTACAAAATCAATTTTTGAGGGTGCTTTATTCTCCCATTATGACTGCAATAAAACGGAGTCTTTTCAAGGTTCCATTGTCGTGTGATCTACTTATATCCATATAAGTAGTATATGGTGTGGGTCAGACATAGAATGTATTTTGGCAGAAGACCGATGAAGAAAGAACTGAAATGAAACGCAAACGTCTGGAAAATGCATGAACAATGGAATAAGAGAAGAAACAGTGAAGATTGAAACAATTGGTTGTTAATTTGCAAATTGACTGTTCATTGTTTGGTAATCAGAATTTATTGAGATAGTCTGTAGTCTTTGCTTAAATACATTCGATCGTCCCCAACTAGTGTTCTGTTCATTACACCATAACTGAATACAAGTTTATACAATTGACAATAGATATCAATGTTTGTGAAATACATTTACTTACTTAGGTACTCACTTACCTACTTACTTACTTACTCACTTACTTACTTACGTACTCAATTACTTACCTACTTACTTACATTCGCCTGTTACTCCCAAAGCAGCATAGGCCACCGAATATCATTCTCCACATGAAGATTGAATGTGATATTAAAGAGTTTTGTCTCTCATAAACTGCAGTTTGAATCTTCACAAACTTAAATCATCATTTTTATTACTTAATTCATTTAAGAAACATTTCATATAAGCAAAGATGGATAGTGGCTAGCAGTGAAATCCAGCACAAGCGTTTCCTTCTATTTGGGACTTGTCAGCTGGATGTACCTACATCTCAGACTTGATATTCACTCTGAGACTCAAACCAAGTACCTTTCGCTTCAAACGCCATCGCGTTATCCACTCGGCCACCGAGTCCTGATAGCCACTTGCTTGTACGATGGGAAGATTCAAACAAACAATACTAAATGAACATTTCATATAGTTTAACAAGACTCATTCATACAGTTTAACCATGAATAAACATAACTGTGGTACGAATAAAGATTGATAAGATGAAATATAAAACAGAACATTTAAATGACTAAATAATCATCAATTACCATGATGAAACTGAAATATCTCTCTATGTCATTTTGTTATATCAAGCGTGTGATGTGGATTACTTATATCCATATAAGTAGTATATGGTGATGGTCAGACATAGAATGTATTTTGGCAGAAGACCGATGAGGAAAGAACTGAAATGAAGCGCAATTGGTAGGAAAATGCATGAACAATGAAATTAGAGAAGGTGAACTTATATTTACAGAAGGAATAGTAGTGATTGAGACCATTGATGGTTATTTTGCAAGTTAACTGTCCATTGTATGATTATCAGAATTTAGTGGGATAGTCTGTAATTTTTTGCTTAAATACATTCAATTGTCCCCCCAGTCGTGTTCTTGTTCACTACATAAGCAAGAGAACTGACAAGTGTTTTTCACCATTTTAGGTTTACTTGACTGAAATTGTTACCTAATATGCTTGGATCATTTGGTTACTTATATAAAAACAAAAAAGTTCCATAGTAACAAGTAGATTACATCACTTTAATCTAAATAATAATGATAAGAGTAGTTCACTTACCATGTATATGAACTTCATAATCTGGTATCATACCTTCTTGATGAAATATTCTTGCACTATAATAATTACTATTTGGTGTATATGGTATTGAACTATGTGGACGTGATGAACTAAAAATAAGAAATGACAATTTCAATGTAGAATATATGGTATTCAAATGGTAAGATCATATTCAACTACTTAAATTACAAACAAACCACTAGACCACTAAGCCTGCCGGCAGCCAACGGTGTTAATGTCTAACTTCAACTAATCCACGAAATTGAGCAACCATTCATCAATGTCTTTAGTGAGTTGATATATCACAACAGACCTGCTTGAACTCCACTGGTTACTGCTTATCACTAGAACTCCAAGAAACACCTCTTGGAGCCTGTCACTAGTGAGCATATGATCATTATTAGAAGGGAGTTTTGTGTAGATTTAAGTTAGAGAATTGGTTAGAGAATTTATAAATATCAATGTTCATTGAACATTGATTTTGTTCTAGTTTGAAATATTTCACCAATAGCCATCCTATTTAGTCCTGGATTTTACCTGATATTGTATTCAGAACATAATGATATAGTTTGTACAGTAAATGGCCATAAGTGGAATTCGTGAGACGCATTTTGTCATATTTCAGACTTGTGTGCTAGATGTACCTGCATCACTGTATTTATTTTCATGCCGACACTCAAATTTCGTACTTATCACTCTAAATCTCCAAGTTTTATTCATTGGCCTACTGATTTCACATAGTCAATCACTAACTTGTTAAGCAGGTTGTAATTTCCTATTGTTGATACTCAAGAACTATCGTTGATAATTTTTTGATCGTTTACACAAGTTCAAAGGAACACCATTCATGAGTTTGTGTACTACTGGATATTCATATTAACACTGATTATAATTGAAGAAACAATTTATTGTACTTCTTTTTATGCTTCTTATTTTGTGCATAAACCTATACTACTTATAAATATTCAGTAGTTTTCAGTTTGCATACAGTAATACATGATTTGTTCTGTTCGGAAAAATAAACAAATGCCCTGTATTTTCAATCATTTAGTTCATTATTCATTTCTATTGTGCTATTTCTTTCTCCATTCAACATTTCATATTCTTGTTTGTTCTCTTCTTTGGAACCTTATTTGTTGCTATCAATCGACTAAATTTATAGATTAAGAGATTAATTTACTTTCATCAAAGTCTTACGGTTCCCCTTGATATGGTTATTTGTTATCATTTAACATCTATGGTACATGTTCAAATTTAATTGTGATGAAATTGTTCGCAGAGCACAATTTTATATGACTATATCTTGAGGGCGTGACTGATACCGTAACATATGAGATATGTACATACTAAGTGACGTTATTGTTTACCATTATAAGACTGTATTTCAAAACAAATATAGTAGCATTATTTCTGGAATCTTAAGTATAACTTAGTCTTTAAGTTGAAGTCTCAGCAAGGAATCTTGATATCCCATGTTAATGATGATTAAAACCACCTACTGGTCAATTTAATCAAAAAGATTGATTTAGATAATATAATGAGAAAACGGATGCAAATTATCTTTGGACATTACTTCTAGTTAGTGTTTTTTTAGCGAGTTGGTTTTCTACGGGATGGGGTCGCTAACCTCATGCCCAACCCCCTCCTTTACCCGGGCTTGGGACAGGTAATAGCCCCCGGAGTAGCTACAGGCGGACATACATCTAAATATCTAGTAAGAACAGATCAATTCCATTAATCTAATAAGAGATAATGCAAACTTATCTTCTGTCATTTGTCACCACTGCTGAAATGAGTTACAAGATGAATCTTAAATCACACATTTAGCTTTCGTATAAAAGTTACTTAACCCAAATATTTAGGTTACCCAAAGCTGTAACTATACAAAATTCAACCTTTCTCTGTGTCTTTACAATAAACCCACCCTGGAAATATTGATTTTGTTTCAATATTTAGAGAAGTGTTGTTCGTATTACTTTTCCATTCTTAGAAACAAGTTCCTTCTACACAAACTACTCTTTGTATGTCTGGCAGGAAGAAACCTCCTACTATTCTGACTTCTCATCTTTACAGTTTCATCTTTTGTTATATTGAATCAATTCATAATAAGAACAAAACGGCTTAACGTTTACCTTTATTCTTTACACAAACGGTATATAAAATCTTTTCAACTTACGTATCTAATCTAGTCATCGGCATATCCATATGATCAAAATGATTTTTACATTCAGCTCTAAATGTTTCTAAACTACTTTGAGCAGCTTCATGAAAACGTTTAGCTAAACCACTTTCTTATGTATCCATACGAGGTATAAAACCTTTGTAACCAGGAATAGGCGGTTCATTTGAACTCATATACGAATGAACATCAGAATTCTTCTTAACCATATCGTCAGTCCATGTATTTAAATGATTCTTAACTAAAGGATCATATGTTACAGGATGAAGATTAGTCATCAAGTTGGATGATTCTTTTAATCTGTTTTGTCTTAACTCAGAAGATTTATATTCTTTAACTAATTGATCAACGCATTCATCAGATAGATTACGATATGTTCGACCAAATTTAAAATTCATTTGTGGTATATTACCTATAAAATAATAATCATTGAAATAGTGTATGAATAGTGTATACATACCAGAATATCCTGGTATCATTCCTTCTGTATATTTATTATCTCCTGTTGATTTTGGTAACATTCTTCCAGGAACATCATAATTAAACTTAGATCTTAATGGATCAAATTTATTATTCTCCCTAGTAACAGGGTAAAAATGATGTGATCCCTACGGGGAATCAATCATTTATGAAAAAATAGATATTACTCACTTGAATTCTTGGCCCAAAATAATATGGTAGATTCCATATAATTTAAAATGAGTTCATTCAAACAAACAAACAAGTTACTTTAGCTATTTCTGATGTTTCTTTACCAAAAGTATGACCATATCTATATTTAAATTGTGGACAAAATCCCATATACCTAAAAGTAAAATTAAAATTAAGTTACACAAATTTGATTGAATTTAATATTCATCGAAGTCCAAATGTCTGTAGACTTTAAATGATTTACTCTTACATGAATGTACAAATAATATTTATATTAACCAACTCATCAGGTGTACATGACCAACCTTCATTTGTCAGTCAGTTAGTCAGCTACAACGCAGGACCAGGCACATTTATGCATCGGTCCAAGTTACCATACCTCGTTAGCAGCGATTTCAATCTTAAGGTTTAAAGGAAGATAAAGAGTGCATACACCTTCATTTGTACGGAATCGTCATAGTGAGATTTTACGACTGTCTGTAAATCTCATGCTAAAGCTACTAAATTTATGGTTTAACTTTATAATCTACTGTGAGCACTTTCATTCATAGCCCCAAAATGCCCTGGTACAGCTATGAATGTGTAGAGTCCCCTCTCCCTCTCAAAATGCTCTCATATGGCCACGCGTATGTAGCCTCTGCCAGAGAAGTCCTACTCACTGCTTTCTCGTGACACCGATGTTGTTTACGAAATTGAGAGGACGAAAAGCGGATGCCCGGTGCTTTAACCGGATTGATGGACACGGAAAGTCCACCTAGGGGAGTTGGAAAATCATGGTTCGAAACCAGTGGTGCATATGGGCTCCAGTACCCTAAAATAACAAATGGTGTGTGAATCAATCGTTGGTCACCGGCTACCATGGGACTGCATCTCCTTACGATGCTCCACTGCATTGTGGATCAGATCTTATGCTCGAAGGTTCCGTGTGTGGTCCCCTAAGAAAACCATCTGTTTAGCTCTGGGTAGCCGGGCAGTATCACAGCCCTCACACTAATCAAATGAGATTTGTGTGGCGCATATATAACTGGTGCCCCTTTATACGAACATTTATGTGTTTAAATAAATATACTTTATAAACCATTCTTATAAGCGGTATTACAAAGAAACCTATAATTTAACCATTTCACTATAAATATATTTTCTTACAAACACTTCAACTTCTATTTTACATTGAACATAATTAGTCTTGAAGATATTCGAATTTCATTAAATATAAACAAAATGTTCGCATCAAATGAATAAAATGATGGTTGAACATTTAATCATTTGAAAGATACTACTACTACTACTACTAACTGAGCATTGAGCAGAAAATAATAAAATAATGATATATTTATGTCACTTGGGTAAAAAGAATATATTATTATTTTATTGTCAATACTATAACTCTATTTCATTGCTTTCTATAATGACTATTTCAGACTATCCAGGAAGTAGTTGAGAAATTTATGAATATGCTTATTAATTTTACTAATGAATAAGTAAATCCATTAATTTCTAATGTGTTAATATTTCTCAGGATTAAACGATATGTGTACGGCACGCATTTTCAGATTAATTTACACTGCCTTAAATCTAAAAGTTATCTCCGTTGCAATTCCTAACTACCAGAAAGAGATCAACAAATAACTATGTCCATTGTTTTTTCTTATAGTACGATAATACATTCATCAAGAAATAACCTATATAAAATCGGATCTCGATTCATTCTGTGGCGGAATAAATTCGAACAGGAATTCCACATAAGCAACTTTAATCTATCAAATAGAGTCTCATGGAAAATAACATCTTTTTTAAAGAAAACCAAAATTTACATCTTTAAGACAACTCGAATATCTGAAAAACTATGAGATGAACTTAACCTCTCATTTCTAATTTATATGACCAAATGTCAATCTATGAATATATCAATTCCTGGTTACACATAGCACATATTCATTTCTTATGGCTATCTAATAAAATACTTAGAAATTTCACGGATTTTGACAGAGAGAACAATAGTTAACAACAATTATGGGATCACAATGAATGCTTATCCATCCAAAACGTCATTATTTAATTGCCGCACAACAAAAAGATTAACAACATAAACAGCAGTTCTAAGTAAACCTAATTATAGTTGTGAACTAAGTATATATATATATAAAGAAATGAAATAAACTCTATAAGTAACTTATAAGAAGTTGTGTTGAGGTCAGTTTTCAGAGTAAACCGAAAGATGTATTCAAAAGTTACGCGCAAGACTTTTCCCTAGAACTCAGCTTATTTAATGAGCTGTAAATGTTGGTCGACTACAAGTCTATACTGACACACAAAAAAACCCGAAATTACTAGTAAACGATCCTCAGATGTACTTAAAAATATTAATGTGGCTTTATCTGAAACCCTCAACCTCTTTTAATGAAATTATAGCACTGACCACTATTCCTTAGTGTTTTCTTATCAGATGTATGAATATAGAAATAAATAAAGACAACTAGGCAAAGTACAATAAATTGGAAGAATTAACGTAATACCAATTTCATTTGTACCAAGATAATAATGTATTTTATGTGTTTCTTAAATCCTGAACAAAACCAACACTTAAATTTATAAAATAGAATATTTGCCCAAAGATCCAAGTTTATCAAGTTAAAAACGATCACATGAATAGATAACAAGCGCGTACACCAAGCATTGTGTGCATCGTAGTTTAGAACATGTCGTTGGTGTTTAAATCCATACGTGCAGTTAATTAAGGCCATAAAAACTGACAAGATCACAGTTGTATCCTAACCATCCATCGAAAAACTTACTTTGATGAATCCCTTACCTTAACTACCCACACATGTTTCTTTCAGCTACAATATGGCACTACCAATTTACCAACTTAACTGTTGAAGACGTGTTGGGTTTAGTATTCTTATATTCTATATTTAGGTTAACACCATTCGTCTAGTAAAGCACGGACCAAGCGTTTTAAACTGTAGTTTGTAGTACCAATTGACAATTAGATGATTCAAGAAAACTGTTGAATGGACTTTAGTACCTTAAACAGCACCTAACTTTGATTTATTTTAACTTTCACGTTAACCCTGTTCTTTTTATATGAAATTGTGCGCTTCAGCTAACATAGATCCCTTACTTTTTGTCGTTCTATTTCCACACTTATGAGCCTTGTGTGTTTGTCTGCCACTCATTGTTTTATACAATGCCTGCCTCTTTGCCACACTACCAACTGTACGTTTTGAGCTATATTAACGTTTTTAACGAGTAGTATAGCGAGCTAATATGTTTACTTTCCCCGGTTCTTCTCAGCTACATTTCTCTTATTGTCTGGCGGAACGAGTGAATAAATGTAAGTAACCAAAACCCATTCCCTGACTCAACGTATTTCATCCTATTATTTTCTAAAGTGAATCAAGTAAAATCAAACTGCAGCTAGAGCAACAAGCCACTAAAAATTAAGTCACAAAGACATGATTGTTATTCCTAAGATACCAAAGACTGTATTCCAAAACAAATAACACTTCTTATGAGGACGACAAGTTGAAACCCCTCAATCCATTAGTCTCTATTCTATATACATTTTGAAAAGTCATTGTGCATACAATCATAAAAAATACATTAGTTAGTTGTGTAGTCAAATAAAAATGCGAAATTAGATTTCCTATTCAGTATATATCTCTGGCCAAGATAAAAATTTACATTTCTATTCAGAAGTTTTCATTTAAAATATTGCCCGAAGTGATAACTATTGATATAAACTTCTAACTAATATTCAACAATTTTTCAATAAAGTCCTGTGTTCTTAAAAATGGAAATTCAATATGGTTGACAAAAGTAATTTACCCAGGCACATGTCCCCCATCTTCCAAATTTGCAAATGCCCGACGTTGCTCAAGTGATGGCCCTCCACCATACTCAATTGTTGTCATGTTGATATACGTTTAACTACCCACGCTCTGCGTTTCTACCCTAATATGTATTTTTATGAGTGTGGCTAATTAAAACAATTTTTTCGAAATTCATGTGCCTTTCTGCCAATGTGTCAAATAATTTATTTGAATCATTTGTCTTCGTGACAATTTTGTAATATTTGTTTACTATCAGTCATCACCGCACTTTAACAATGACTTATATGACCTGTATAGTCTGATCCCCTTTGCGTCGCACTGTTCCAAATGTCGCTAAATTGTCTATTTTTCCCCTAAATATCCGCTAAATGGTCTATTGCTCCCATAAATATTCCACGAAAACGATATTTTTCCCCTAAATTTCCGACGACTTGTCGTTACTATAGTAACAAAGAAATTAAAAGATTGAAATCGCTCTGAATTGAATAAAAAAAACTTTCGCTTAGTTTGATTCCGTATCTAGTAGCAAACGATCACTTTTGACATGTATACTTTTACTGAGGAAGTTAGCCGACAAAAAAACAACCTACTCCAAGACACCGCGATTCCTAACTGAAGGTGTCTTCAGTCTTCAGTCTTCAGTGATAAGGATAGTAGGTTGATGAACCTGTGTTAATCCTGACAGATTTCCTTCCAGTGAAGGTCCAGCTTCTTTTTGAAAATGTTCACTGATGGTGCTGATACCACTTGTTCTGGTAAAGCGTTCCAGTCATTGACCACTCGATGAGAAAAACGGGACCCCAGCGCGGACCAGAGTCAAGATGATTATCTGACTGGTTTTCTTCTTCATCACTAGTAGAACTGTCCATCATAGAACGAAGATGTGAAAATTTAGAGTGTAATGCCCGAGTGATAATTGCACATGGATCAGAGCCACTGGAACAAACAAACAAATGACCACACTTTTAATAGTTATAGAACTGTGGTGAAAATTGGCTCTCACTACACATACGAAATATTCTCACCTGATTGTAGGAGAATGTTTCTGTTTTATCGGTGTGCCACCGGGTGATCTTGGTATTGAACGTAGTTTAATGGATCCACTTTGTAATTCTTTCAATACTTCTGACATATCAGCAGGACTTTGTGATATCCACAAATAACTTTTTATTGGTGTAGATGTTTTATCTGTGGAATTATTCTGAAAAAGATATACAAAGTTATTTTATAACTGAAATAAGGAAACAATTTCCCCGAAATCAATAAGAATAAATAAGAAGATAAAAGTTCCCATGTTTATAGCTTTGGCATCCAATCAAAATATTCTCCTTATTAGTGTGAACCCACAGCTCTAAATTCGTAATTACTTTACCGAATGTCCATTAATCACCATCATTATACCAAAAGTGGAATTCTCCACATAACAACTCATCAGTAGTTCAACAGAAATTTCGTTCGTATAAAAACAAATAACATTCACTGAACTACTAGCAAGAAGTACATTAGTAGTTAAATAAATATGCAACAATAATTACATGTTAAATTGCTCATCCAAAATACAAATTATATGCATGATCAATAGTCAACTACAATCAGAAAAGATTAATGGATGAAGACCAATATTCAATGATCAACTAATGTAAGTATCTCAGTATTCCAGGAGGTAGATCACTACCCAAATAGTTCACTGGCAACGTCTAAGACCATGTAACACGGAAAGTCATGTTCCAACCCACTAGGAAGAATAACTTCTCAAGAGATTGCCAGTTACACTTTGCTGATAAGTGCTAACTACCACAAAACCCATATCGAACAGGGTCTTCTGCAGACTAAACTAAAATATAGCGCACAAGATGTAAGATCGCTTAGAGTAGTAACTTATAAATCAACAGAAGTTTAGCAATACTAAAGCAATACTAAACAAACATGACAATCACAACTATTCAGTGATCAATCAATGTGAATAGGATATTACCAGTATTAAATGTGATAACAAATTAGGAAATGTTAAAATCCAAGGATTGGTAGCTACTTCTCCCTCAGTAACTCATAGTATTAAACAGAAGAGAATTTAATTGTCAGCTAATAGAAATGGAAACTCCGCTGTATATATTTTGGTACCTCTTTGTACCAATGTTTACGTGTTTAATTAAACAAATAATAAAAAAGGAAACAAATTGTTAAATATTAAAGATGTTTGAATATGTGTATGAAAAAGGAACAGTGTAATGCAATAATTAGTGCCTTTTCCAATAGACACCAGAAAAAAGGTTCATCATCAAATATATTGTGATCTTAACAAAATACTTATGAGTGATAATTCAAATATTAAAAAGGACAATTTTATGCTTAAAGTCTACTCAAAATTGTAGCATGAAATGTGATGTATACAGAAATAAAGCTTGCCGTTTGGTCTAACCGAAAACAACCAACGATTAATTATCAAAATAGTTCCTAGCTGTGAAATAAAAATCACATACATAGAGAGGACTAAATTTCTTTGAACTATACCTTTTTACTTCTTAACCTTGCTTGCAATTGTTCTCTCCAATTGCTACTACCATTTGCTCCTCCTTGTAGTGCAGGTGAAGAAATCATGGGCGGTGGTGGTGGCGGTGGCGGTAGTATTAATGATGTTGAAGTTAAACTAGCTGAAGGAATAGGAGATTCTGACAAATTGTTGTTAAACTTTGTTTCATCATGTTGCATTAAACTAGGTGATCCTGTGGCAGCGATGGCAGTATCACTCTCACCATCTGCATCTGGACGATGAGGAAATCGATCTCGTTCTAAGTCACATGTGCTTGATTTGCCTGATTCTTGAGCTGAACTTAACTGAGCAATTTGTGATCTTAAACGAGAAATTTCAGCTTACAATTGTGAAATACGATTTGATCTAGATGATGAATGAAAATGTTCATCAGAGCTGTCTGTAGTATCTGATGTATTATTATTATGATACAATTTGCCATTATTCTTAGTAGACTCTTTAAGGCGCTTTCCTATATAAGAAATATTTTTCAGTATGAATAAAAAACGTTTACGGTTAGTAATTGACTACTCAACAATAATAAAAATAAGCATACTTACAACAATTCAAAAGTCTGGCAAATTCAAACATTCAACTGTCTACTAAAATATGTGCAATGGTGGTCGTTTGCACATAGGAACAAGTTAGAAGAAGTCAAGTTAAAAACATGTATTATCAGTGTTCATAAAGCGACTGATCAGTAGTGGGGTTTGAATTGTGCCAAGGCGTTGACTTTCTGTTTCAGGTCCACATGATAATCACAATGGATAGCGTTTTGAGATTTTATCTATGATACAGCTTGAAATCGGCTGCAATATCACAGATGTATTCACAGTTTATTTTCTACAAAATCGTGCGTTTCATTTTTCACAATTCATCAATTGACTAAATGCGTCTTTTTTAATAACTGTATTCACTGTTTTTGCTTTAACTACTACCATTATATTAAGTCAAAACTCAGTTGCTTAGAGTGCCGGATAGGGCTAGTGCATGTTTTTCTCTTATATTATTATATACAACCTTTCTTTTATATATTACCACCACTAAATTAACTACTTCTATGAATTCAGTGTTCATCTCGTTGTGCTAATGAGGTGTGGTAGCTTGGATCGATACATTTGTGTGCCTGGTCCTACGCTGTAGCTGACTGACTGTTATTTTATTGGAATCTACGTGTTATTTATTGAAAAAAAAGAGTGACTGATATCAACCACCTATTATGTCGCTAATAGTATTGGTTCATAAATAGATCCCAAAGTTACCATTCATTATCCTTATCGGGGCAAAAAAACTATTGTCATACAATTTACTATCCTTAAGATATTTCCAATTTATTAGTAACAGTCTCTCTCAATCACAGCCACGTTTTTTCTTGGTCTTGTATAATTGTTATTTTCTATTTTATGGTATGATCTGGTCTGGTCTGGTCTGGTTTATCTGTATATAAACCCAGTATGTCTGAAATATATGATCTGGATAGCGGAGGCTGATATTGGTGTTCTGGACTTAACAGGCAGGGCTAAGCGTAAAAAGGACCAATCGGGACTCTAGGCTGTTCGCATAGGTGTATGTGGCATTAGTTGGTCGTATTAGTCAGCGTATCTAAATTGGCAATCGGATTTCGCGATAATCTTATAAGCTAAGGACACAGCAGTTGCACTTTAGTGCAAATAACACTGACATATCTTACGGTATGTGCACATAAAATGATCTTTACGAATCATCAGCTATGACCAATTTCATATTTGTGTAGTCCTTTGGTGCTGATCTAATTTTACAGATTATGTCGCACTTGCACTATGCTGATAACGTTAAGTGTTTGGAGACAGTCGGCAAGAAACGTTGCTCAATCTGCGTTTCGTGCTACTTGACACTTGTTAGCAAAGCATACCTGCAATCCTGACAGAATTGGTTGGAGCTAATCTGTAGGATACCCTAGACATAGGTTTGATGATGATTGATCCTCGTAGGCAAGGTGTAGATAAAATCGTGTGCGAACTAATCCCATCTGTAGGATTTCCTTTACATCTTGCTGATAAGTGTCAACTAGCAGAAGACCTAATCTAGGAGTTCCTGTCGATCAGCTCGAACTATCTACTATCATAAAATTATTTTTTGCAACAGTACGCAAAACTTTACATTCAATTTACCAAAATTATACAAAAGATAAAATCACATACCTCTTTTATTTTTTCCACCATACCTATAATTACTGTACTGTGTTTTCTTTGATTTCATAATTAATTTGTGATTATCATTATCACCAGTATTGTTTTTTATAGATTTTATTTCACAATCATCATCATTACTGTTGATAGGATCTGTATAACTTGAAATATATAACTAAAACAAAATAATATGTGGAATAAACAATAAAAAAAGGAGATTAATTATTGTGATTATTAAATAATGAAACTATTAAACATTTTAATAACTAGTATAGTATAGAGTTTCTATCAAAAGGAATTCTTGTTAAGATCCATTTTATAATATGGATCTTGAAAATGACTGAAGAAGAAATGATTCTTCTCTTATTCATAAATTAATTAATAGGAGATATAGGGGAAGATCCTTGCAAATTGTATCGTTAAACGTGAAAAGTAAATTGAAGATACATCTCTTTATGATAATACTTCTAGATAGGGAGTCGGTATTCTACACATTTAGAGTATGATCCATACCCAAGTAATTATTTATTTATTTATTGTACATTAGTGTTTACCATAGCATTACCGATGTCTTTGCAGATAAGACAAATGGTTACACGAAAGCGATGGCATTAGTGAAAAGTGATAAAACATTGAGGGTGACTTAGATACCAGTCTTACACAGCTTCCCTTCAAACCACGGTGTCACGTCATAAACTGACCACCTCTCCTCCATTCCTATTCTGTTACTATTATACAAGCTTTGAATTAAGTGAAATAACGTCCCTCAAAATAGCTTCCCTAGTTTGTCAAGGCCTCTTGTTTCTCTGTTCACATAACAAACAAATTACCGGGTCACATTACTACCATGACTTTTCCACCGGATGTCATTTTAGTGATCCTTAGAAGATGACAATGATGAAACTCCGTGAGTCGTTAAACATCAGCAACTTAAAAAATGGTTAGGTTTAATAAACACAGGACAGACCTGCTCTTATTAATCATAAAAAAACCTAATATACCTACCAAATATGAAGTGTAAATAATTGTGTACATGCAAAACAAATAGCATAGTAAGTTCAAATAATAATAATAATAATAAATGGGCTTACCACATTGGAATCTGATGCCGAACAATCACAATCATCATATTCTGAGATTTTACTTAATAATACATTACTATCAATATTTAATCTCGGAGCCAATGAACCGTTTGGTAAGAATTTAACTATATATCGAACCGAGCAAAATGAACGTACGTAAGTTACCTAGTGAGAGAATAAAAACAAAACAAAATTGATTCAATAACAATTATTTGACGTTAGAAATAGGTAATTCAAAATTAGATTAATAAAAACCGCAATCTCTTTTTAGTTTATTTCGATTTCATTTTACTCTGAACTGTTGCCAGTGATTTCAAATTGCTCAAGAAATGAATGTCGAATATCCAACAAATACAAACATTATGAATATTTATACTTATTCAACAATATCTTTGAGAAATCACACATTCAGGTGTGATGGATCCACTGTCTGCATGCCGTCAAAGTTACAGGTCTTAGATAATGAAAGAGAATCGGTCAAGAGAATTGGAAACAAAAAGTGAACAGCACTGTTGGTAAAGCTATTTCTTAATGAAAATTAATATTTTGAATAGAATAGTAGTTGAATGAGGAAAACAACTCAGTGATAAGATAAAGTGGAGGGATCCTAGTAGCCAGGTTAACTTATATTAGAGAAATGTAGGTTGTTGATAAGTTCAGGTTCACCGGACAGCCGATATCAATGGTTATCATTCCCAAGTGACCCAATAAAACAAGGGCATCTCTATATACTGTTATATCCTAGTGAAGATTAAAGTACGGGTAACTTCTGTGAACTAGTGATAGACTAGTATTCCATAAATGTTCTTATTGTATAATTATTGAGTAATTAGATTGTGTGTATCCATATTCATCTTATTATAAGGTTTATTTTGATCTATAGATTATTACTATATGATTTACTGTTCCAAAATTGTACTCAGTTTATTGATTACTGTCTCCCACGTTCACAGCCACATTTTGGCTTGATCTTGTACAAATGTTATTCCTTATTTTATGGTGCGATGTGATCTGTCTGTTTGGTATATGAACCAAGTATGCTTTAAATAAATGATTCGCATAGTAGGAGCTGTTATTCATGTTCTGGACTCAAGTGGATGGGCTAGGAGCAAAAACGACCAATAAGGACACTAGGCTACTCATACCGCTCGAACGTCATCGGTTTGGCACAGTGCTAAGATTGTATAAGTAGTATTTCGATTTGTGAATAAATTACGTGATACTAGCCGGGCTTAAATTCACAACACATTTATCTTTAGCTTTTGATCAATCTATAGCTTAATAACTTCCGTTCTGCTCAACATCTTATGCTCACATTCAGATACTACTGTACAGTGCATGATACTAACTAAACGATGCTCAGTTGTATTAGATCATACGTTGTATTTTCTGTTTACTGAATAACTAGAATACTTTTCGTTTCGTAAAGAAAAAAACAGTAATCAACACACGCACAAACCATCAATCGAACAAATGACAAAATCAGTAACCAAGACATTACAGCATCAGTAACATTTTTATACATAGGCATTTTTCAAATAGTGCGAATTCTAAGTGTTAAGCTAAATTATTATTGGAATCTTACAAAATAGTGACACAGATTTGTATCAGACTTACCAAGTGTTGCAACATCATATTCAACGGGTATGTAGTCATCTAAACTGGTTGAATGTCAGTTGATTCGAAGAAATGAAAAATAACCTCTGTAAGACAAGAATTGTAACTACAAAGTTAGTCAAATATAAAACATTATTTTGATAAACATATACAGTTGGTCGCCAAAAAACAAAGTATCAACTTCAAGAAGCCAGTAAACGAAGGATTACCTATGTAAATCAAATGAAGTGATGAGACTGCATTCTCAGTGGGTAAAAAACCTGGTTTTACCATTATGCATTCAGATGATCTTTTCGATGTTCTGGGTAAACCTTAAGGTATAGTGATATACTAGTAAGAATTAAGAAAGACACTTTCGTAGTTTACATATTAGTTCAGGTGCTAACATGTTTCATCTTTTCACTTTTTTCAATGCTAACTGCCTTCGAGGCAATCGCGAAAAAGATTCAAAAATAGAGTCTGGAGATGTAAGACGCATTTTCTGATGAATCTCAGCTTACATGAAATACAATCTTCCCTCAAAATGATTCTATCCACGTAGAAGCAGAAAATGTACAATTTGGTGATTAGTCACATAGTAAGTTGGTCGATAAGAGTCAGTTAATATTGAGGTGTAGACAAATTATTGAGACAAATGATTGAAAACCTTGATATTTTCATTATTCTTATTATTCTGATAGAATTTGTTAGAACGTGTTCTTCCAGTGTTCATCATCTTTCTGGCACACAAACTCACATATTTTAGAGCAGAATTGTTTCATAGGTGAAATAAGTAGGTGAAAGAGAGAAAGAAACAATGTGAAACTGTGAAAGTATTTTCTCCTAAAAAATTAGTCTTCTCACCATAATCGCAGGAAGAGTGGCGAAGTTGAATGGTGTTAAGTAAAAGTGAAAGCATATGTAACGCAGTACTTGGATTTATTTTTAGTGACTAGTTTCTGTGTATAAATTGTGTGTAAAAGTGAAGGAAGTAATTTCTGAAATGATATTGTTGATCAAATAGTTATAGATTTCGTGAATACCCTGATGGTAACATTTCACACTTAAGATATATGACGAGACTTCGAGTCTCAGAAGAAGCACCAATCTTGTCAGTATTGTTTGTTTGTCTTGTTGAGTGGCGCCAACTGGCATGAAACCTAGGTCAACCAGAGATTTCTGTCGATGCGATCAGTGTCCACACTGTAACTTGATGATTAGAATTCTATCAGTGCTGATGGACATGACAAACATGATATGTGCTGCTACTCAGTGATCAGTGGTTTGCGTTAAATCCTTTCTATCAACTTCTGGCTTTGGTTTTCTTATTGTCTAGATGTGGCGTTTGTATTGGTCTCTTTCATCATTATGAATGTGGGTGTAGCTTTTTCGCACACTAAATCGTCCGCAAACATTCTCTTAAATTTTCCTTTCTTCCAAATTCCCTCGTATATATTTGTGTTCACACTATTCAAGCATATAGTTTAAGTAGAAGCTAGATCCAAACCTTCCTTAGATTGAATGTGAGATAGTATCATTTAAAGAGTTCAGTTAACAAAGAAATATACTAGTTGCACTTTCAAAACTGAAAAATAGAACATTCACGGATATTAGAGAAGAATTCTAGCTTTGCTGAATGAACTGTCCCAACACCACATCAGACAAAGTAGACGCAACCTTCATCCTTGTCCACACAAACTTCAGCTAGATATTAGGCGCCATCATATGTAGTTGTCTACATCAGTGCATGTGGACAGCTGTGAACATATTTTAGACTGAGAGAATGTTGAAATTCATGATAGAGAGAATGAGTGTAATCATTAGAAGCCAAACAATCACGTCAATCTGAAATCAACAAACACCTCAGAAGCGATACAATTTAATAATCAATCAGGGAAATCTTGGATAGTTATATAATCAGTAAACGGAATACAAGCCTGGTTCAGTGAAGGATTCTTTTTCTAAACAAATCATCGCAATTCTGCTGCACTAGTGGTTGCATGCAGCCTCTTCTGATGAACATACAAGTGCTACTGTATAGCTGCTGCAGCAAAGAAGTTCCGTACATGAATGCAGCTGGACAGCACCCAAAATCTTGTTTTATTGATTTTCTTAGACGTAACATGACTAAAGGTAGCTTATTTGTCCAATCGTTATTAACAGTGACGGTCGTTGGAGATGCCATTGACCGACTATGTAGGCGTCCAGTCATACCACTACAAACCGGGTGTAAATATATATACATATATATTTCATCGCTCACAAGAAGCATAACCCTGATTTCCATTCCCGTGTCAAATAAGAATTGCACGCTCGCCATTCCGATTGACGAATAAGTCTTGTGGTGATCAGCCGGGTTAAATGTCACAACACAGGAAAGCTCACACGTGCCTACATTTGGAATTCCTCTTTCTTCTAGATATTGACTGGATCATAAAGACCTCCGCAAGTCAGAGAAAGCAGAAATGCAATGAACAACTTGAACTCAATTGAACAATTAACATTTCTCAGACGACCTGGCTCTTTCATCCCATATGCATAAACGAATTCGGGCGAAGACAAGCATTCCACGAGGTGAAAAACGTGAGTATGAGGAAGTAGTAAAGAATATTGATAAATGAGTTGACAAGTTAGTTACAAAAGAAACGAATAACCGTATAACGTTTATCGTCCGTCAGGTAAAACACATAGATTATTCAGATACATATCTACGTGGATACTTATTTTAGAAATCGTCCGATCATAGAAATAAAAAGCATAGTGTATTGATAAAATTCCTTCGTAATTAGTAAAAGACAAATATTATCAGTTTTTTTGTTGTTTTTAAAAGTCGCCTGATTTCATATTCTCTCTCTTTCTCTCTCTGCAGACAGCACTAATTACAGTCATGAGGTGAGTTTGACCCAGTGCAATAGAACTTATTCAAAGTACATAACTGATGTTTGTACAAAAATATTTTAGATATGCAACGTACCACTTTTTGTTTTTAGCTCTTTTATTGAACTTTACATAGTCTCCTAATTTTAATTACGTTGTTTGATGTTTTCTATGGTAAACAATACTCACCCCTCTCATTCCACCTTCATTCTATGATTGTATATAAGCAGAAGAATAAATGCTGTAGTTTCAGTGAATATGGTTTGCTTAGTTTGGTTTCACGTAGCTGCTCTGCTTTTGATTCTTCATACGTCCACACAGACAGGTAAGTAATCTGTATTATGTCAAATGTACTTTTACAATTACATTCTGAGATATTCACATCTGATTCAGTGTACCAACAGAATCATAACACCGTCATTTCTATCTTCATCACCATCGCCGTCATAAGTCATAAAACACATCTTGAATCTGATTAAAACCGTGTGTTTGAGCATATTTCTCTGTTTCATAAATTTGTACTTGACGCCATTTTTCTGAATAGTGTTAAAAGAGGTTCTAGACATAAGTATACCGTTTTAATCCATTGTGAGTATTCAACCACGTAACAACAATTGATCGGAACATTGTTTGAGTTGAAATATTTGTTTCTGTTGAAAACTATTCGTTGATATTCAATCATCAATCATTTCGTCTTTCAAGTATCAATTCTGGTGAATTATCATAGTAGTAATCGCCAACCAGACGAAACACAATCAACGACCTTTAGTCAGTGAACAATTTATCAACTTGCTTTGTGAATTCACAAACCGATCAACACAAATAACACTGCCCGTCTTGTTGAAATTTATATGCCACGATGGAAATTGTTCACCAAACCATATGACACAATATTACAATGAATAAGTGGGTACTCCATTGTTCTGTTGACCGATGAACAGTTGAAACTTATTTAAAATGAAGCACTCGCTTCAATGACGGTTTATGAGAATGCCTTATTGAATGATGTTTTGAATCTCGACATTGACGTTTCCAATGATCAACTGAAATTCTTATTGTTGTGCTTAATCCTATTTCATTTTTTAGATGTCGAATCGAAGCGGCGTGATGATTTAATAGCAGGGATTTCTTTATTCGAAGGCAAGTAATGGTCATTGTGCGTTGTACAGACTTTTTATGATACTGTCAAACGTGTTAATGAAACACACGTTGTTTCTAACTATTTAAATGAAGAATAATTCGGTCCGTTTCTTTGTGTCCAAGGACTGTAATTTCAGATGTGTATAATGGTGTGTTTGAAATCATATCTGCTCATTAATTATTTGTTGATGAGACTTGTATGATGTTCTGTAATGTAACGACTTTGGTATATTCATCGAAATGAAATCATTTTCTCAATGTTACTGATAAATGATCGCACATGTTAGTAATATGAATGTCCAGTAACAGAATGAATAATAAAACACAATTTGGTTAATCTTTAGGATGGATGAATAAGCGCAGAAAGTATATCAAAGACTATGACAGCAAAATACAATCCCTAAGAGGTAATTTTATTATTCAATTGTCATTGTAATAATCTTTCGCACTACCATTTTTTGAAATGTAACTACATCACTTTGTTCTTTAACTGAGTTGCTCTACATTATCGTGTTTATTTCAGATAAAATCATAAAAGCAGATCCACAAGGAATGAAGAATATCGATGAGTGTATGTGAACAATAATCCATGTCTCTAATTACATTAATGATTTTAGATATCACATGTAGAAGTGAATATTGGATCTCCCTTACAGCCACTAAAGTTTTGTCAGGTAACAGAAATTATTCTCATACAGTGGTTTGATTTTGATACGGAATTTCATTGTTATTCACTTCCATGTTGACTTTTTTTGAATTCGATGACTAGCAAATATATCTCATGTATGAAAGTCCATAAAGTTCAACGTTCGAAGATTTCATCCTTACATAATGAGATTGCAACATGACTTGTGCCACTAATTCCGCACCCTGTAGTTTATCTTTGATAATTCTGACAAAATTCTACCATTTCTCCCCGACAACAAGTACAGGCATAACATTCTAGTAAAATAGTTTCTTAGAATGATAGGTTTCTGAAGTTAGTTCTGTGACTGGACGTTCTTCATTGAAGTGTTGAACCTTGATGTGTGTGCTCAATATTTCAAGTTATCTTTGTATGATAAATTCTGTAGCGAACCATAAATAATTCATGGAATGGGAATGTGAGTGCGAAATTGCATCACAACTAATACACTTAATGTAGTGTAAGTTTCATTCTGACATTGTGAGCAAACATACTGTAGAAGTAGTCATTAGACAAAAAAGTGAAAATAGATGTCTTTCATTAAGGCTTGAAATCTCCTATTCACCAACACAACTTGAAGAATAATGAACAATAGTCACAAGAAATTAGGGACTCTCAACGGAGTTTGTAATCAACATCGATAAACACCAAATCTAGAACAGGCAGATATTGTGGTGAACATCAAGACTTTAGACAAGTAAAACGTTGTCGATTAGTTTATTGAGACTATCAGCAGGTGTCGAGCGAGTGGTCAAAATAATTCACATAGTTTCATCATCGGTCCACGTTTCTATATCCAGTCAAGGCGCAATATACTCAATCGTCTGTCAAACCACATTCACTTATCAATTCATCAGATGTAACTTATTCATAAACATCCATATTGAAAACAAATTAATTTGTAATCTGCTTCATTGCTTTTATAGATATTCAAACTTTGCAGAAAGTTTACAAGAAAAAATTTCGTAAGTTCTTCTAATAACCGAATACTTTTCAACATTCGACGCACAATGACATAATTTGCAAACTGATTCTCTTAATAATATGAAGTGAAGTGAAGATTGTGAAACTCCCATTGATACATTTTCGAAAGTTCCTCAAAATGACCGATTTTGTGAATTAAACTTTGATATATTTAGTGGTAGTGTTTCAACAATGATCGGTTGATGATGTCAATCGAAAACATAACTGTTATGAAGGTTGGATAATAAATATAACGCTAGGGTTTCTTCTTATAACAGTCCTATCAATTTTTACACGCATGTAGGACGGTAATTTACTTTAGACGAACATCTACACTGGATTCCTTCCAAGTGTATATTCTACAAGACTTCAACACAACTCAGATCAAGAACACGAGATTAGCCTCACTAGAACGTCAATATATTTCCACACACCCAAAGTCTGACGCAATCCAACAACAATAATAATCAGGATAGGTAAATATATAACACATATGACACCTGTCACACGATCTACATTTCTGACTCAGTAAAACAACCAATCATTATCATTCTCACCTACACATAAATAACAAACAACACACCCCACACTGATATTAAGTATTCGTTTAACATGAAAATTCAAGAATACAATTTTCTCTTACTTGAGACTGGTAGTATGAATAGATCTCGATCATAATGGAATTGTTCACGCTGAGGCTCGAAACCACCAATCCCGGATTCAAATCAACACTTTGAAAGGAATCATATTGAAGTTTCTTTGAGGAAATCAGCCCTGAGAGAAAGTGAGTTGAGCTGATGAATCACGAGCCAAAACAAATGAGAGTTACATGAATCTCAAGATATCGGACATATCATAACCTAATTAACAAATCTCATGTGGTAACAAAGGTTCATCGCATTCGGTCCTGGTTACTGTCCATGAGGAATCTCAAACCCTTATTATTACAAATTCAAATGTTGTAATCCCGTACTATGTTAAAGTTTGTTATTTCTTCAACTTCTCTAATTCTATACAGCGCATGTTAAATTCGATTTTTCGAATTTCGAAGCACCTTTTATAGAAAAAGCTAAACCCTATAACAGTAAGTCAAAATAATGAATTACACGCAGTTTATTCCTATCCATCTAAAATAATCACGACTTCTTGTATTTTCATCTGATCTAATCCATGTTATTAGCCTATCAATAACTACAGCTGTTTGATACTTTACAGACGGGGACATTGTATAAATGAGTGCGGGTTAGTAGTTCTCTAGATGTGATTTTTAAGATTCATTCACAACGTCACTTGCATCTATCGAGCATATCAGGATGTTCGTCTAGCTCACAACACGTAGTGTTTTTGTGATAAGCATTTAGGCCGTATTGCTGTATAAATGTCGTCTATGTGATTATAATGAAAGAGAATTAATTTCACCTATAGTTTACCCCAACCTTTACTTCATATTTTCTATTTCCACGTCGTCGTCGGTAATTGCAGTATGTAAATTCTAGTGTTTAATTAACATCGAGAGTTTATCTGAGATCACAGGAAAATCTTGACCATTATCACCGCTCCTTAAATGTTTGCCGAAACGTATGTAGGTTTTATGCAATAAAGGTACATCACGTCGACTTAAATAGCCGAAGTTTTGGTAGGGCATCTTAAATTTCCAATCAATTTGCCAGATTACTTTTAAGTTAAAAATTTATTCAGTTTGTGTGTACCCGCTTTCTGAATTTTCCTATCGATGTACGAGACTACAACTAATCAGTCTGTTTTGACAGTTATGCTTTCTGTACGGATCACTTCGATATTGTCACTAAGTCACAAGTGTTTCTAGAAGAGATGGACGGTAGCTAGCAGAATCTCGAAATGAATATCAATTTCAAAATACAATGGTATTCAGTTAAGAAGCCTATTTCTCCTCCATCAGTCACCATACATCTCTGATCACAATTTATTTATTCCAGATCAATATGGTTTCTAATCAGACTGAATATACAACTAGTGAAGTGATTTGTCTTTTTTTATTATTTCTTCCGTAAACGAATTAGATATGGAATCTATGAGCGAACTCATAAAATGTAACGAGCTGATACCAACATATCCAAAATGTAAATTTACTTTAATTATCACTCTATTGATATTAATGAATATGACAGATATAACCTGACATTCCTTACTGTAATTCATTCTCACCAATACTTTCCACTAATCTTCAAATGTGTTTTCCAGAATATCTAATTGTTTTCCTTAGGTACACTGAACTCGTGTTTCCTCAATCATAAAATCACAGAACCGATCATGTTCTGTTTAATATTAACGCATTTAATATTCATGAAGGAATTGATTCATGTTACAGAACAAATCTCGTCAAATGATTAAAAGGTAAAAGCATGGACTAAATATTCACAGGGACTTTGACAAATGAGTGGGGATATCGAGAAATGGCGAAAAGGACAATGTGACTCTCCGTTATTTATCCACCATCCATGTTGTCCTCACATATGGTGATTTCCATTACTTTGATGCTGAAAACACGTTGAATGACTCCTTCAAATAAACGATATTCATGAATGATTTCCTAACCGATTTTATTTTGTATTTCAGATGTGGAACAAATTGATGAACAGATTTCTTTGAAAAACGTTGATGTTGAACATTTGGATATGGAATCCTGTAAGATAAAATATTTGAATATTTTGATTGTTTTATTGAATAACTATGTCATGTCCACATGTAATTCACTGAATAATGGTTATCCACAAACTGTAATACTATGTGAAGTGTCTACAGAAGCTTCAACCTGATGGTTTAATGAATGAACGCAATCACAATAACACGGAAGCTTCAAATGAAATTGAACAGTTTGTTTGTACTAATCCGAGCTCGAACATTCTTAATCAACGCATCCACCATATTTGTGATAGTTCTCCATTCAAATATCAAAGTTGAGATAGTGAGGTTGCGTTTCACGATGCCGGCCAATTCGATAGAACAAACTTGGCTAACCGAGAAACAAAATGCAAGTATTCAGCCAACACATCACATTCACATGAACATTGTTGAACTAGTAAAACGTTTTGAACAATTGCCTATACAAACACCATATGTGACATAAACGGAAAATAACCACCGATTTATTTTCTTAGTTTTCTCATTAATGATGAGATAGATATTGAAGTAAATGAACATTCAGTCATTTAGCGGTTTTATTTCATTTTCCCACATTTCAGTTATTCATAGTTTTCTATCACAAATGCTCGAAGCGATGAGTAAGTAACCTATTGAATCAAATCTACTGACAATATTATGTAGTATGTGTTGTATGTTGCATGAAGACGACCTATTGTGTGTTTGGATAATTGAAATACGCAAATTAGAGTTACGTACAACTAAACGTCGGTTCACTCGATTTAATACACAGTTGCTTTTGAATTGAAATATCTATTCAGATGGATATTTGAGAGACAGTCTAAGGAAAAGTAGATTTGAATGAATGTTTACTGTTGCAGTTGACACTCGATAACATGGTGATTTTCTGATCCATTACTCCAGTGGGATCTGCACCATGTTTGATCAAATGAATACATGCATGTTGATCAAGACCCATTAAACAGTGTTACTTTTGTCCAGTCGTTCATTTCGAATGTACACTTGTATGATTTATCATATTACTAATCATTCTTATGTTTCTGTTAGAATTCCAGGTAACGATGGAAAATAAACGAATTTGAATTTGCGAACGCTGAACTGGACCTAACTCATTTCTCATTTACTCATATTGTTGTAACAATTAATTAACTGTCTAAATAATCAATCACAAATTTCTTCTTTCATTAACAATATTCACCGTTAATATTAACTAACTCTTATTTGTTTATGTTGAAAACATTGATGCAGTAAACGACTGTAATGTGTGAAATTAAATGTCTATCAATTGATGTTTGAGTTTTAATATGGTTTACCTGCAATAAGAATCGAACTAGTTAGTGATGAAAATGAGAATAGTATGAGGGATATAGTGAATAAAACAGTTAGACGACAGTCACTCGTCAAAATGATAGCTGATTTCCGTGAATCACGATGTTAACTGCAATCTACTCATATCATTGAACATTCTGGAACTAACTTCTCAAACCCGAGTTCATGTATAAATATGAACTACATGAAGTGGATGGTATTTGGTTCTAATCTCGGTGTAGAAATCAATACTGATATTGATGCTTTCGCTTGGCGAACCTCAAAAAGGATGAGAAACGAATCCTGGATTACACTGCCCGCTACAATCCATCAATTGTAAATAACTAGTGTCCCAATGCTTAGATCAATCCGAATCCCACAATTCGTAAATATGCTTTAAAGACTGATCGAAATTCAATCTTCAAATTCGTCAATGAGATAAATCAAACACATCCTTATCATAAAGAAATAATTATCTTTTATTTTGGATATCACATCTACCAAAGTCAACTACTTACTACCGTCTTCTTTATATGTGTCAGGCCTTATCCCTGTTGGTTGCAGATTGTTGTCTACTAGTTCTTTGATACTCTGTAAATGATCTTGTCATTCTTCATTTAAATCGGATATGATGATGAGGTGAATCAATGCAGCCGTAAAAATATTGAGCAAGTGTGATAATCCTGATGTGCAATCGGTATACAAACACACTTGACAAAATCATGAAGAATGTAAATGAAAACCGATAGATGGTGTACAAGTGAAGTATTTAATGTGTAATTTCTATAATTTTTAAAGACACTCTAGAATTTCGAACGAAATGATGAATTGGTTTCGCACACTAATTCACCGTTCACTGCAAGCTTATTTGCCATGGTATGTAGTTCGTCTTAGAATGTAAAGAATTTAGTCCTCAAATCGACGATAAATTGTATGACAAGAGGGAAATTTCGATGTAGGCAAATACAGATCAGTATAAATGAAAATTATAACTGATTGAAGCTGATCACCTCAAGCGATAGAATGGTATTGGAATATATTCGTGTGTTGAAAATCAGGAGAACGTCACATATTTTACAAATATATATGGGAGTTAATAACCTGTAAACACATTTGTGAATGTGGTATGCAAAGGAATATACAGGACAATGATTCAGCTAGCTTCCTGACAGTGTAATAGTCATTACACACTGTTTGCATACGCATAAATCTGACAGTAAATTTCCAACATTTTTTAAATTAAAAGAAGCTATGTGTGTGCACCTGTCGAAAGACTTAATTTGGTTTTATGAATGATCTGCAACGCTCCTGTCTCATAGTCAACTTCATATTTCGGAATATATGATTTTCATTTTTAGATTTCAGGGCACATTGGAGAGCACTACAAAAGGTTAAAGAGGAGAAGATAAAAAAAACTTTTATTGATGGTTCTCTTTCGGTATACAGAATAACTCTGAATGCATCAGCCCTAACCAATTGTCTACAGCAGAAGCTATGTTTGACAGAAAGGTTAAAACTGCAATTGATGCCATGAAACCATAGGAAAATGGCATAGAAAGAGGAAAGCTTAAGATGGAAACTCATTTTAATCACCATAATAATAATAATAGATATTCTGAAAATAATATTTACAGAATTCACACCAGTTTACAGGCATGATCAGATTGTTATAAAAATCAACATTTAATGTAGAGAGCAAACATGAAATGTAAGATGAGATGGCTCAGAATCAATCACAATGGCGTAGGTTTATACACTCTTTAACTTCCCTTAAACCTTCAGATTAAAATTGCTTCATTACTTTCTTCCTTCCTATACTATATCCTTATATAAAACCTTTCTTTTGTAGATATTACCACCACTAACTTAACTACTTCTATGAATTCGCTGATCATCTTGTTGTGCTAATGAGTGAGGTATGACAACTTGGACCGATGTGTAAATGTGCCTGGTTTTACGTTGGTTTTTGTTACTATGAAAGATATTTTTTAGTTAAATCTTTTATTTTTAAATATTCTCCATAACAAGAGTATGGATGAGCACATACTTCTAAATCACGTGTTGTATTACCAAAATTCTTTCCAACATGATATTGATAACCTATTCACAAAATAGAAATAAAAAAAGGAAAATTGACAAAATTGCTCTTTTCATAGTTGAAATCATGAGTCGATTGAAGCTAGACCACTATGAAAAACCTGGAAGCACTGGACGGCCGTTTCGTCCTTTTGTGGGACACTTTAGTGTCAGTGCACATCCACGATCTCGCACTCGCGAGATATGAACCCAGGACCTACCAGTGTTTTTTTAATAATAATTTTATAGGCTACAAAATCAATTTTTGAGGGTGCTTTATTCTCCCATTATGACTGCAATAAAACGGAGTCTTTTCAAGGTTCCATTGTCGTGTGATCTACTTATATCCATATAAGTAGTATATGGTGTGGGTCAGACATAGAATGTATTTTGGCAGAAGACCGATGAAGAAAGAACTGAAATGAAACGCAAACGTCTGGAAAATGCATGAACAATGGAATAAGAGAAGAAACAGTGAAGATTGAAACAATTGGTTGTTAATTTGCAAATTGACTGTTCATTGTTTGGTAATCAGAATTTATTGAGATAGTCTGTAGTCTTTGCTTAAATACATTCGATCGTCCCCAACTAGTGTTCTGTTCATTACACCATAACTGAATACAAGTTTATACAATTGACAATAGATATCAATGTTTGTGAAATACATTTACTTACTTAGGTACTCACTTACCTACTTACTTACTTACTCACTTACTTACTTACGTACTCAATTACTTACCTACTTACTTACATTCGCCTGTTACTCCCAAAGCAGCATAGGCCACCGAATATCATTCTCCACATGAAGATTGAATGTGATATTAAAGAGTTTTGTCTCTCATAAACTGCAGTTTGAATCTTCACAAACTTAAATCATCATTTTTATTACTTAATTCATTTAAGAAACATTTCATATAAGCAAAGATGGATAGTGGCTAGCAGTGAAATCCAGCACAAGCGTTTCCTTCTATTTGGGACTTGTCAGCTGGATGTACCTACATCTCAGACTTGATATTCACTCTGAGACTCAAACCAAGTACCTTTCGCTTCAAACGCCATCGCGTTATCCACTCGGCCACCGAGTCCTGATAGCCACTTGCTTGTACGATGGGAAGATTCAAACAAACAATACTAAATGAACATTTCATATAGTTTAACAAGACTCATTCATACAGTTTAACCATGAATAAACATAACTGTGGTACGAATAAAGATTGATAAGATGAAATATAAAACAGAACATTTAAATGACTAAATAATCATCAATTACCATGATGAAACTGAAATATCTCTCTATGTCATTTTGTTATATCAAGCGTGTGATGTGGATTACTTATATCCATATAAGTAGTATATGGTGATGGTCAGACATAGAATGTATTTTGGCAGAAGACCGATGAGGAAAGAACTGAAATGAAGCGCAATTGGTAGGAAAATGCATGAACAATGAAATTAGAGAAGGTGAACTTATATTTACAGAAGGAATAGTAGTGATTGAGACCATTGATGGTTATTTTGCAAGTTAACTGTCCATTGTATGATTATCAGAATTTAGTGGGATAGTCTGTAATTTTTTGCTTAAATACATTCAATTGTCCCCCCAGTCGTGTTCTTGTTCACTACATAAGCAAGAGAACTGACAAGTGTTTTTCACCATTTTAGGTTTACTTGACTGAAATTGTTACCTAATATGCTTGGATCATTTGGTTACTTATATAAAAACAAAAAAGTTCCATAGTAACAAGTAGATTACATCACTTTAATCTAAATAATAATGATAAGAGTAGTTCACTTACCATGTATATGAACTTCATAATCTGGTATCATACCTTCTTGATGAAATATTCTTGCACTATAATAATTACTATTTGGTGTATATGGTATTGAACTATGTGGACGTGATGAACTAAAAATAAGAAATGACAATTTCAATGTAGAATATATGGTATTCAAATGGTAAGATCATATTCAACTACTTAAATTACAAACAAACCACTAGACCACTAAGCCTGCCGGCAGCCAACGGTGTTAATGTCTAACTTCAACTAATCCACGAAATTGAGCAACCATTCATCAATGTCTTTAGTGAGTTGATATATCACAACAGACCTGCTTGAACTCCACTGGTTACTGCTTATCACTAGAACTCCAAGAAACACCTCTTGGAGCCTGTCACTAGTGAGCATATGATCATTATTAGAAGGGAGTTTTGTGTAGATTTAAGTTAGAGAATTGGTTAGAGAATTTATAAATATCAATGTTCATTGAACATTGATTTTGTTCTAGTTTGAAATATTTCACCAATAGCCATCCTATTTAGTCCTGGATTTTACCTGATATTGTATTCAGAACATAATGATATAGTTTGTACAGTAAATGGCCATAAGTGGAATTCGTGAGACGCATTTTGTCATATTTCAGACTTGTGTGCTAGATGTACCTGCATCACTGTATTTATTTTCATGCCGACACTCAAATTTCGTACTTATCACTCTAAATCTCCAAGTTTTATTCATTGGCCTACTGATTTCACATAGTCAATCACTAACTTGTTAAGCAGGTTGTAATTTCCTATTGTTGATACTCAAGAACTATCGTTGATAATTTTTTGATCGTTTACACAAGTTCAAAGGAACACCATTCATGAGTTTGTGTACTACTGGATATTCATATTAACACTGATTATAATTGAAGAAACAATTTATTGTACTTCTTTTTATGCTTCTTATTTTGTGCATAAACCTATACTACTTATAAATATTCAGTAGTTTTCAGTTTGCATACAGTAATACATGATTTGTTCTGTTCGGAAAAATAAACAAATGCCCTGTATTTTCAATCATTTAGTTCATTATTCATTTCTATTGTGCTATTTCTTTCTCCATTCAACATTTCATATTCTTGTTTGTTCTCTTCTTTGGAACCTTATTTGTTGCTATCAATCGACTAAATTTATAGATTAAGAGATTAATTTACTTTCATCAAAGTCTTACGGTTCCCCTTGATATGGTTATTTGTTATCATTTAACATCTATGGTACATGTTCAAATTTAATTGTGATGAAATTGTTCGCAGAGCACAATTTTATATGACTATATCTTGAGGGCGTGACTGATACCGTAACATATGAGATATGTACATACTAAGTGACGTTATTGTTTACCATTATAAGACTGTATTTCAAAACAAATATAGTAGCATTATTTCTGGAATCTTAAGTATAACTTAGTCTTTAAGTTGAAGTCTCAGCAAGGAATCTTGATATCCCATGTTAATGATGATTAAAACCACCTACTGGTCAATTTAATCAAAAAGATTGATTTAGATAATATAATGAGAAAACGGATGCAAATTATCTTTGGACATTACTTCTAGTTAGTGTTTTTTTAGCGAGTTGGTTTTCTACGGGATGGGGTCGCTAACCTCATGCCCAACCCCCTCCTTTACCCGGGCTTGGGACAGGTAATAGCCCCCGGAGTAGCTACAGGCGGACATACATCTAAATATCTAGTAAGAACAGATCAATTCCATTAATCTAATAAGAGATAATGCAAACTTATCTTCTGTCATTTGTCACCACTGCTGAAATGAGTTACAAGATGAATCTTAAATCACACATTTAGCTTTCGTATAAAAGTTACTTAACCCAAATATTTAGGTTACCCAAAGCTGTAACTATACAAAATTCAACCTTTCTCTGTGTCTTTACAATAAACCCACCCTGGAAATATTGATTTTGTTTCAATATTTAGAGAAGTGTTGTTCGTATTACTTTTCCATTCTTAGAAACAAGTTCCTTCTACACAAACTACTCTTTGTATGTCTGGCAGGAAGAAACCTCCTACTATTCTGACTTCTCATCTTTACAGTTTCATCTTTTGTTATATTGAATCAATTCATAATAAGAACAAAACGGCTTAACGTTTACCTTTATTCTTTACACAAACGGTATATAAAATCTTTTCAACTTACGTATCTAATCTAGTCATCGGCATATCCATATGATCAAAATGATTTTTACATTCAGCTCTAAATGTTTCTAAACTACTTTGAGCAGCTTCATGAAAACGTTTAGCTAAACCACTTTCTTATGTATCCATACGAGGTATAAAACCTTTGTAACCAGGAATAGGCGGTTCATTTGAACTCATATACGAATGAACATCAGAATTCTTCTTAACCATATCGTCAGTCCATGTATTTAAATGATTCTTAACTAAAGGATCATATGTTACAGGATGAAGATTAGTCATCAAGTTGGATGATTCTTTTAATCTGTTTTGTCTTAACTCAGAAGATTTATATTCTTTAACTAATTGATCAACGCATTCATCAGATAGATTACGATATGTTCGACCAAATTTAAAATTCATTTGTGGTATATTACCTATAAAATAATAATCATTGAAATAGTGTATGAATAGTGTATACATACCAGAATATCCTGGTATCATTCCTTCTGTATATTTATTATCTCCTGTTGATTTTGGTAACATTCTTCCAGGAACATCATAATTAAACTTAGATCTTAATGGATCAAATTTATTATTCTCCCTAGTAACAGGGTAAAAATGATGTGATCCCTACGGGGAATCAATCATTTATGAAAAAATAGATATTACTCACTTGAATTCTTGGCCCAAAATAATATGGTAGATTCCATATAATTTAAAATGAGTTCATTCAAACAAACAAACAAGTTACTTTAGCTATTTCTGATGTTTCTTTACCAAAAGTATGACCATATCTATATTTAAATTGTGGACAAAATCCCATATACCTAAAAGTAAAATTAAAATTAAGTTACACAAATTTGATTGAATTTAATATTCATCGAAGTCCAAATGTCTGTAGACTTTAAATGATTTACTCTTACATGAATGTACAAATAATATTTATATTAACCAACTCATCAGGTGTACATGACCAACCTTCATTTGTCAGTCAGTTAGTCAGCTACAACGCAGGACCAGGCACATTTATGCATCGGTCCAAGTTACCATACCTCGTTAGCAGCGATTTCAATCTTAAGGTTTAAAGGAAGATAAAGAGTGCATACACCTTCATTTGTACGGAATCGTCATAGTGAGATTTTACGACTGTCTGTAAATCTCATGCTAAAGCTACTAAATTTATGGTTTAACTTTATAATCTACTGTGAGCACTTTCATTCATAGCCCCAAAATGCCCTGGTACAGCTATGAATGTGTAGAGTCCCCTCTCCCTCTCAAAATGCTCTCATATGGCCACGCGTATGTAGCCTCTGCCAGAGAAGTCCTACTCACTGCTTTCTCGTGACACCGATGTTGTTTACGAAATTGAGAGGACGAAAAGCGGATGCCCGGTGCTTTAACCGGATTGATGGACACGGAAAGTCCACCTAGGGGAGTTGGAAAATCATGGTTCGAAACCAGTGGTGCATATGGGCTCCAGTACCCTAAAATAACAAATGGTGTGTGAATCAATCGTTGGTCACCGGCTACCATGGGACTGCATCTCCTTACGATGCTCCACTGCATTGTGGATCAGATCTTATGCTCGAAGGTTCCGTGTGTGGTCCCCTAAGAAAACCATCTGTTTAGCTCTGGGTAGCCGGGCAGTATCACAGCCCTCACACTAATCAAATGAGATTTGTGTGGCGCATATATAACTGGTGCCCCTTTATACGAACATTTATGTGTTTAAATAAATATACTTTATAAACCATTCTTATAAGCGGTATTACAAAGAAACCTATAATTTAACCATTTCACTATAAATATATTTTCTTACAAACACTTCAACTTCTATTTTACATTGAACATAATTAGTCTTGAAGATATTCGAATTTCATTAAATATAAACAAAATGTTCGCATCAAATGAATAAAATGATGGTTGAACATTTAATCATTTGAAAGATACTACTACTACTACTACTAACTGAGCATTGAGCAGAAAATAATAAAATAATGATATATTTATGTCACTTGGGTAAAAAGAATATATTATTATTTTATTGTCAATACTATAACTCTATTTCATTGCTTTCTATAATGACTATTTCAGACTATCCAGGAAGTAGTTGAGAAATTTATGAATATGCTTATTAATTTTACTAATGAATAAGTAAATCCATTAATTTCTAATGTGTTAATATTTCTCAGGATTAAACGATATGTGTACGGCACGCATTTTCAGATTAATTTACACTGCCTTAAATCTAAAAGTTATCTCCGTTGCAATTCCTAACTACCAGAAAGAGATCAACAAATAACTATGTCCATTGTTTTTTCTTATAGTACGATAATACATTCATCAAGAAATAACCTATATAAAATCGGATCTCGATTCATTCTGTGGCGGAATAAATTCGAACAGGAATTCCACATAAGCAACTTTAATCTATCAAATAGAGTCTCATGGAAAATAACATCTTTTTTAAAGAAAACCAAAATTTACATCTTTAAGACAACTCGAATATCTGAAAAACTATGAGATGAACTTAACCTCTCATTTCTAATTTATATGACCAAATGTCAATCTATGAATATATCAATTCCTGGTTACACATAGCACATATTCATTTCTTATGGCTATCTAATAAAATACTTAGAAATTTCACGGATTTTGACAGAGAGAACAATAGTTAACAACAATTATGGGATCACAATGAATGCTTATCCATCCAAAACGTCATTATTTAATTGCCGCACAACAAAAAGATTAACAACATAAACAGCAGTTCTAAGTAAACCTAATTATAGTTGTGAACTAAGTATATATATATATAAAGAAATGAAATAAACTCTATAAGTAACTTATAAGAAGTTGTGTTGAGGTCAGTTTTCAGAGTAAACCGAAAGATGTATTCAAAAGTTACGCGCAAGACTTTTCCCTAGAACTCAGCTTATTTAATGAGCTGTAAATGTTGGTCGACTACAAGTCTATACTGACACACAAAAAAACCCGAAATTACTAGTAAACGATCCTCAGATGTACTTAAAAATATTAATGTGGCTTTATCTGAAACCCTCAACCTCTTTTAATGAAATTATAGCACTGACCACTATTCCTTAGTGTTTTCTTATCAGATGTATGAATATAGAAATAAATAAAGACAACTAGGCAAAGTACAATAAATTGGAAGAATTAACGTAATACCAATTTCATTTGTACCAAGATAATAATGTATTTTATGTGTTTCTTAAATCCTGAACAAAACCAACACTTAAATTTATAAAATAGAATATTTGCCCAAAGATCCAAGTTTATCAAGTTAAAAACGATCACATGAATAGATAACAAGCGCGTACACCAAGCATTGTGTGCATCGTAGTTTAGAACATGTCGTTGGTGTTTAAATCCATACGTGCAGTTAATTAAGGCCATAAAAACTGACAAGATCACAGTTGTATCCTAACCATCCATCGAAAAACTTACTTTGATGAATCCCTTACCTTAACTACCCACACATGTTTCTTTCAGCTACAATATGGCACTACCAATTTACCAACTTAACTGTTGAAGACGTGTTGGGTTTAGTATTCTTATATTCTATATTTAGGTTAACACCATTCGTCTAGTAAAGCACGGACCAAGCGTTTTAAACTGTAGTTTGTAGTACCAATTGACAATTAGATGATTCAAGAAAACTGTTGAATGGACTTTAGTACCTTAAACAGCACCTAACTTTGATTTATTTTAACTTTCACGTTAACCCTGTTCTTTTTATATGAAATTGTGCGCTTCAGCTAACATAGATCCCTTACTTTTTGTCGTTCTATTTCCACACTTATGAGCCTTGTGTGTTTGTCTGCCACTCATTGTTTTATACAATGCCTGCCTCTTTGCCACACTACCAACTGTACGTTTTGAGCTATATTAACGTTTTTAACGAGTAGTATAGCGAGCTAATATGTTTACTTTCCCCGGTTCTTCTCAGCTACATTTCTCTTATTGTCTGGCGGAACGAGTGAATAAATGTAAGTAACCAAAACCCATTCCCTGACTCAACGTATTTCATCCTATTATTTTCTAAAGTGAATCAAGTAAAATCAAACTGCAGCTAGAGCAACAAGCCACTAAAAATTAAGTCACAAAGACATGATTGTTATTCCTAAGATACCAAAGACTGTATTCCAAAACAAATAACACTTCTTATGAGGACGACAAGTTGAAACCCCTCAATCCATTAGTCTCTATTCTATATACATTTTGAAAAGTCATTGTGCATACAATCATAAAAAATACATTAGTTAGTTGTGTAGTCAAATAAAAATGCGAAATTAGATTTCCTATTCAGTATATATCTCTGGCCAAGATAAAAATTTACATTTCTATTCAGAAGTTTTCATTTAAAATATTGCCCGAAGTGATAACTATTGATATAAACTTCTAACTAATATTCAACAATTTTTCAATAAAGTCCTGTGTTCTTAAAAATGGAAATTCAATATGGTTGACAAAAGTAATTTACCCAGGCACATGTCCCCCATCTTCCAAATTTGCAAATGCCCGACGTTGCTCAAGTGATGGCCCTCCACCATACTCAATTGTTGTCATGTTGATATACGTTTAACTACCCACGCTCTGCGTTTCTACCCTAATATGTATTTTTATGAGTGTGGCTAATTAAAACAATTTTTTCGAAATTCATGTGCCTTTCTGCCAATGTGTCAAATAATTTATTTGAATCATTTGTCTTCGTGACAATTTTGTAATATTTGTTTACTATCAGTCATCACCGCACTTTAACAATGACTTATATGACCTGTATAGTCTGATCCCCTTTGCGTCGCACTGTTCCAAATGTCGCTAAATTGTCTATTTTTCCCCTAAATATCCGCTAAATGGTCTATTGCTCCCATAAATATTCCACGAAAACGATATTTTTCCCCTAAATTTCCGACGACTTGTCGTTACTATAGTAACAAAGAAATTAAAAGATTGAAATCGCTCTGAATTGAATAAAAAAAACTTTCGCTTAGTTTGATTCCGTATCTAGTAGCAAACGATCACTTTTGACATGTATACTTTTACTGAGGAAGTTAGCCGACAAAAAAACAACCTACTCCAAGACACCGCGATTCCTAACTGAAGGTGTCTTCAGTCTTCAGTCTTCAGTGATAAGGATAGTAGGTTGATGAACCTGTGTTAATCCTGACAGATTTCCTTCCAGTGAAGGTCCAGCTTCTTTTTGAAAATGTTCACTGATGGTGCTGATACCACTTGTTCTGGTAAAGCGTTCCAGTCATTGACCACTCGATGAGAAAAACGGGACCCCAGCGCGGACCAGAGTCAAGATGATTATCTGACTGGTTTTCTTCTTCATCACTAGTAGAACTGTCCATCATAGAACGAAGATGTGAAAATTTAGAGTGTAATGCCCGAGTGATAATTGCACATGGATCAGAGCCACTGGAACAAACAAACAAATGACCACACTTTTAATAGTTATAGAACTGTGGTGAAAATTGGCTCTCACTACACATACGAAATATTCTCACCTGATTGTAGGAGAATGTTTCTGTTTTATCGGTGTGCCACCGGGTGATCTTGGTATTGAACGTAGTTTAATGGATCCACTTTGTAATTCTTTCAATACTTCTGACATATCAGCAGGACTTTGTGATATCCACAAATAACTTTTTATTGGTGTAGATGTTTTATCTGTGGAATTATTCTGAAAAAGATATACAAAGTTATTTTATAACTGAAATAAGGAAACAATTTCCCCGAAATCAATAAGAATAAATAAGAAGATAAAAGTTCCCATGTTTATAGCTTTGGCATCCAATCAAAATATTCTCCTTATTAGTGTGAACCCACAGCTCTAAATTCGTAATTACTTTACCGAATGTCCATTAATCACCATCATTATACCAAAAGTGGAATTCTCCACATAACAACTCATCAGTAGTTCAACAGAAATTTCGTTCGTATAAAAACAAATAACATTCACTGAACTACTAGCAAGAAGTACATTAGTAGTTAAATAAATATGCAACAATAATTACATGTTAAATTGCTCATCCAAAATACAAATTATATGCATGATCAATAGTCAACTACAATCAGAAAAGATTAATGGATGAAGACCAATATTCAATGATCAACTAATGTAAGTATCTCAGTATTCCAGGAGGTAGATCACTACCCAAATAGTTCACTGGCAACGTCTAAGACCATGTAACACGGAAAGTCATGTTCCAACCCACTAGGAAGAATAACTTCTCAAGAGATTGCCAGTTACACTTTGCTGATAAGTGCTAACTACCACAAAACCCATATCGAACAGGGTCTTCTGCAGACTAAACTAAAATATAGCGCACAAGATGTAAGATCGCTTAGAGTAGTAACTTATAAATCAACAGAAGTTTAGCAATACTAAAGCAATACTAAACAAACATGACAATCACAACTATTCAGTGATCAATCAATGTGAATAGGATATTACCAGTATTAAATGTGATAACAAATTAGGAAATGTTAAAATCCAAGGATTGGTAGCTACTTCTCCCTCAGTAACTCATAGTATTAAACAGAAGAGAATTTAATTGTCAGCTAATAGAAATGGAAACTCCGCTGTATATATTTTGGTACCTCTTTGTACCAATGTTTACGTGTTTAATTAAACAAATAATAAAAAAGGAAACAAATTGTTAAATATTAAAGATGTTTGAATATGTGTATGAAAAAGGAACAGTGTAATGCAATAATTAGTGCCTTTTCCAATAGACACCAGAAAAAAGGTTCATCATCAAATATATTGTGATCTTAACAAAATACTTATGAGTGATAATTCAAATATTAAAAAGGACAATTTTATGCTTAAAGTCTACTCAAAATTGTAGCATGAAATGTGATGTATACAGAAATAAAGCTTGCCGTTTGGTCTAACCGAAAACAACCAACGATTAATTATCAAAATAGTTCCTAGCTGTGAAATAAAAATCACATACATAGAGAGGACTAAATTTCTTTGAACTATACCTTTTTACTTCTTAACCTTGCTTGCAATTGTTCTCTCCAATTGCTACTACCATTTGCTCCTCCTTGTAGTGCAGGTGAAGAAATCATGGGCGGTGGTGGTGGCGGTGGCGGTAGTATTAATGATGTTGAAGTTAAACTAGCTGAAGGAATAGGAGATTCTGACAAATTGTTGTTAAACTTTGTTTCATCATGTTGCATTAAACTAGGTGATCCTGTGGCAGCGATGGCAGTATCACTCTCACCATCTGCATCTGGACGATGAGGAAATCGATCTCGTTCTAAGTCACATGTGCTTGATTTGCCTGATTCTTGAGCTGAACTTAACTGAGCAATTTGTGATCTTAAACGAGAAATTTCAGCTTACAATTGTGAAATACGATTTGATCTAGATGATGAATGAAAATGTTCATCAGAGCTGTCTGTAGTATCTGATGTATTATTATTATGATACAATTTGCCATTATTCTTAGTAGACTCTTTAAGGCGCTTTCCTATATAAGAAATATTTTTCAGTATGAATAAAAAACGTTTACGGTTAGTAATTGACTACTCAACAATAATAAAAATAAGCATACTTACAACAATTCAAAAGTCTGGCAAATTCAAACATTCAACTGTCTACTAAAATATGTGCAATGGTGGTCGTTTGCACATAGGAACAAGTTAGAAGAAGTCAAGTTAAAAACATGTATTATCAGTGTTCATAAAGCGACTGATCAGTAGTGGGGTTTGAATTGTGCCAAGGCGTTGACTTTCTGTTTCAGGTCCACATGATAATCACAATGGATAGCGTTTTGAGATTTTATCTATGATACAGCTTGAAATCGGCTGCAATATCACAGATGTATTCACAGTTTATTTTCTACAAAATCGTGCGTTTCATTTTTCACAATTCATCAATTGACTAAATGCGTCTTTTTTAATAACTGTATTCACTGTTTTTGCTTTAACTACTACCATTATATTAAGTCAAAACTCAGTTGCTTAGAGTGCCGGATAGGGCTAGTGCATGTTTTTCTCTTATATTATTATATACAACCTTTCTTTTATATATTACCACCACTAAATTAACTACTTCTATGAATTCAGTGTTCATCTCGTTGTGCTAATGAGGTGTGGTAGCTTGGATCGATACATTTGTGTGCCTGGTCCTACGCTGTAGCTGACTGACTGTTATTTTATTGGAATCTACGTGTTATTTTTTAAAAAAAAAGAGTGACTGATATCAACCACCTATTATGTCGCTAATAGTATTGGTTCATAAATAGATCCCAAAGTTACCATTCATTATCCTTATCGGGGCAAAAAAACTATTGTCATACAATTTACTATCCTTAAGATATTTCCAATTTATTAGTAACAGTCTCTCTCAATCACAGCCACGTTTTTTCTTGGTCTTGTATAATTGTTATTTTCTATTTTATGGTATGATCTGGTCTGGTCTGGTCTGGTTTATCTGTATATAAACCCAGTATGTCTGAAATATATGATCTGGATAGCGGAGGCTGATATTGGTGTTCTGGACTTAACAGGCAGGGCTAAGCGTAAAAAGGACCAATCGGGACTCTAGGCTGTTCGCATAGGTGTATGTGGCATTAGTTGGTCGTATTAGTCAGCGTATCTAAATTGGCAATCGGATTTCGCGATAATCTTATAAGCTAAGGACACAGCAGTTGCACTTTAGTGCAAATAACACTGACATATCTTACGGTATGTGCACATAAAATGATCTTTACGAATCATCAGCTATGACCAATTTCATATTTCTGTAGTCCTTTGGTGCTGATCTAATTTTACAGATTATGTCGCACTTGCACTATGCTGATAACGTTAAGTGTTTGGAGACAGTCGGCAAGAAACGTTGCTCAATCTGCGTTTCGTGCTACTTGACACTTGTTAGCAAAGCATACCTGCAATCCTGACAGAATTGGTTGGAGCTAATCTGTAGGATACCCTAGACATAGGTTTGATGATGATTGATCCTCGTAGGCAAGGTGTAGATAAAATCGTGTGCGAACTAATCCCATCTGTAGGATTTCCTTTACATCTTGCTGATAAGTGTCAACTAGCAGAAGACCTAATCTAGGAGTTCCTGTCGATCAGCTCGAACTATCTACTATCATAAAATTATTTTTTGCAACAGTACGCAAAACTTTACATTCAATTTACCAAAATTATACAAAAGATAAAATCACATACCTCTTTTATTTTTTCCACCATACCTATAATTACTGTACTGTGTTTTCTTTGATTTCATAATTAATTTGTGATTATCATTATCACCAGTATTGTTTTTTATAGATTTTATTTCACAATCATCATCATTACTGTTGATAGGATCTGTATAACTTGAAATATATAACTAAAACAAAATAATATGTGGAATAAACAATAAAAAAAGGAGATTAATTATTGTGATTATTAAATAATGAAACTATTAAACATTTTAATAACTAGTATAGTATAGAGTTTCTATCAAAAGGAATTCTTGTTAAGATCCATTTTATAATATGGATCTTGAAAATGACTGAAGAAGAAATGATTCTTCTCTTATTCATAAATTAATTAATAGGAGATATAGGGGAAGATCCTTGCAAATTGTATCGTTAAACGTGAAAAGTAAATTGAAGATACATCTCTTTATGATAATACTTCTAGATAGGGAGTCGGTATTCTACACATTTAGAGTATGATCCATACCCAAGTAATTATTTATTTATTTATTGTACATTAGTGTTTACCATAGCATTACCGATGTCTTTGCAGATAAGACAAATGGTTACACGAAAGCGATGGCATTAGTGAAAAGTGATAAAACATTGAGGGTGACTTAGATACCAGTCTTACACAGCTTCCCTTCAAACCACGGTGTCACGTCATAAACTGACCACCTCTCCTCCATTCCTATTCTGTTACTATTATACAAGCTTTGAATTAAGTGAAATAACGTCCCTCAAAATAGCTTCCCTAGTTTGTCAAGGCCTCTTGTTTCTCTGTTCACATAACAAACAAATTACCGGGTCACATTACTACCATGACTTTTCCACCGGATGTCATTTTAGTGATCCTTAGAAGATGACAATGATGAAACTCCGTGAGTCGTTAAACATCAGCAACTTAAAAAATGGTTAGGTTTAATAAACACAGGACAGACCTGCTCTTATTAATCATAAAAAAACCTAATATACCTACCAAATATGAAGTGTAAATAATTGTGTACATGCAAAACAAATAGCATAGTAAGTTCAAATAATAATAATAATAATAAATGGGCTTACCACATTGGAATCTGATGCCGAACAATCACAATCATCATATTCTGAGATTTTACTTAATAATACATTACTATCAATATTTAATCTCGGAGCCAATGAACCGTTTGGTAAGAATTTAACTATATATCGAACCGAGCAAAATGAACGTACGTAAGTTACCTAGTGAGAGAATAAAAACAAAACAAAATTGATTCAATAACAATTATTTGACGTTAGAAATAGGTAATTCAAAATTAGATTAATAAAAACCGCAATCTCTTTTTAGTTTATTTCGATTTCATTTTACTCTGAACTGTTGCCAGTGATTTCAAATTGCTCAAGAAATGAATGTCGAATATCCAACAAATACAAACATTATGAATATTTATACTTATTCAACAATATCTTTGAGAAATCACACATTCAGGTGTGATGGATCCACTGTCTGCATGCCGTCAAAGTTACAGGTCTTAGATAATGAAAGAGAATCGGTCAAGAGAATTGGAAACAAAAAGTGAACAGCACTGTTGGTAAAGCTATTTCTTAATGAAAATTAATATTTTGAATAGAATAGTAGTTGAATGAGGAAACAAACTCAGTGATAAGATAAAGTGGAGGGATCCTAGTAGCCAGGTTAACTTATATTAGGGAATTGTAGGTGGTTGATAAGTTCAGGTTCACCGGACAGCCGATATCAATGGTTATCATTCCCAAGTGACCCAATAAAACAAGGGCATCTCTATATACTGTTATATCCTAGTGAAGATTAAAGTACGGGTAACTTCTGTGAACTAGTGATAGACTAGTATTCCATAAATGTTCTTATTGTATAATTATTGAGTAATTAGATTGTGTGTATCCATATTCATCTTATTATAAGGTTTATTTTGATCTATAGATTATTACTATATGATTTACTGTTCCAAAATTGTACTCAGTTTATTGATTACTGTCTCCCACGTTCACAGCCACATTTTGGCTTGATCTTGTACAAATGTTATTCCTTATTTTATGGTGCGATGTGATCTGTCTGTTTGGTATATGAACCAAGTATGCTTTAAATAAATGATTCGCATAGTAGGAGCTGTTATTCATGTTCTGGACTCAAGTGGATGGGCTAGGAGCAAAAACGACCAATAAGGACACTAGGCTACTCATACCGCTCGAACGTCATCGGTTTGGCACAGTGCTAAGATTGTATAAGTAGTATTTCGATTTGTGAATAAATTACGTGATACTAGCCGGGCTTAAATTCACAACACATTTATCTTTAGCTTTTGATCAATCTATAGCTTAATAACTTCCGTTCTGCTCAACATCTTATGCTCACATTCAGATACTACTGTACAGTGCATGATACTAACTAAACGATGCTCAGTTGTATTAGATCATACGTTGTATTTTCTGTTTACTGAATAACTAGAATACTTTTCGTTTCGTAAAGAAAAAAACAGTAATCAACACACGCACAAACCATCAATCGAACAAATGACAAAATCAGTAACCAAGACATTACAGCATCAGTAACATTTTTATACATAGGCATTTTTCAAATAGTGCGAATTCTAAGTGTTAAGCTAAATTATTATTGGAATCTTACAAAATAGTGACACAGATTTGTATCAGCCCGACCAAGTGTTGAAAGATCATATTCAACGGGTATGTAGTCATCTAAACTGGTTGAATGTCAGTTGATTCGAAGAAATGAAAATAACCTCTGTAAGACAAGAATTGTAACTACAAAGTTAGTCAAATATAAAACATTATTTTGATAAACATATACTGTTGGTCGCCAAAAAACAAAGTATCAACTTCAAGAAGCCAGTAAACGAAGGATTACCTATGTAAATCAAATGAAGTGATGAGACTGCATTCTCAGTGGGTAAAAAACCTGGTTTTACCATTATGCATTCAGATGATCTTTTCGATGTTCTGGGTAAACCTTAAGGTATAGTGATATACTAGTAAGAATTAAGAAAGACACTTTCGTAGTTTACATATTAGTTCAGGTGCTAACATGTTTCATCTTTTCACTTTTTTCAATGCTAACTGCCTTCGAGGCAATCGCGAAAAAGATTCAAAAACAGAGTCTGGAGATGTAAGACGCATTTTCTGATGAATCTCAGCTTACATGAAATACAATCTTCCCCCAAAATGATTCTATCCACGTAGAAGCAGAAAATGTACAATTTGGTGATTAGTCACATAGTAAGTTGGTCGATAAGAGTCAGTTAATATTGAGGTGTAGACAAATTATTGAGACAAATGATTGAAAACCTTGATATTTTCATTATTCTTATTATTCTGATAGAATTTGTTAGAACGTGTTCTTCCAGTGTTCATCATCTTTCTGGCACACAAACTCACATATTTTAGAGCAGAATTGTTTCATAGGTGAAATAAGTAGGTGAAAGAGAGAAAGAAACAATGTGAAACTGTGAAAGTATTTTCTCCTAAAAAATTAGTCTTCTCACCATAATCGCAGGAAGAGTGGCGAAGTTGAATGGTGTTAAGTAAAAGTGAAAGCATATGTAACGCAGTACTTGGATTTATTTTTAGTGACTAGTTTCTGTGTATAAATTGTGTGTAAAAGTGAAGGAAGTAATTTCTGAAATGATATTGTTGATCAAATAGTTATAGATTTCGTGAATACCCTGATGGTAACATTTCACACTTAAGATATATGACGAGACTTCGAGTCTCAGAAGAAGCACCAATCTTGTCAGTATTGTTTGTTTGTCTTGTTGAGTGGCGCCAACTGGCATGAAACCTAGGTCAACCAGAGATTTCTGTCGATGCGATCAGTGTCCACACTGTAACTTGATGATTAGAATTCTATCAGTGCTGATGGACATGACAAACATGATATGTGCTGCTACTCAGTGATCAGTGGTTTGCGTTA